AATTTCACAATTGCTTGTCATATAGCAATAACCCAGGAAAATCTGACAAATTCATATGAGTAACAAGGTTACGATGGCATGCTGGAGGAGCAAAGAAGGAAAATAACAAGAGATGCTGAGTCCATTCCACTAGAGTTCCAATCTCAGCTCTGAAAACTACCAGATGTGTGACCCTGTCTGGGCAAGCCTCAGGGATCCCCACCTTGTTGCATGACCGTGACAAATAGAAATAGTCCCTAAAATGTACCTTGCACAGTGCCTGGCACATAATAGATACTTGATAAATGTATGAAATAATCTAATTGGTAATAATGGAGGGCAAAATATCTTCCCAATTATCCATGATTAAAGCGCCAACTGGAAATTGTTCATCTCAATTAAATATTTCTTTAATTAACCTCAGATAAACAGAAAGGGGGAAACATTGCTCAAGTTTGTAGCTTACAAAAAAAGTTTATAGAAAATTACATTTTTAAATATCTACTGTGCTCTTTCCAAAACGGTGTAAAACCTCTGAGTAGTCAAGAATATGAATCCCTGTTGTATCAAAGAATGAGAATACATTCTTTGTGAAGAAAGAAACGATTAAATTGCATCTTCCAGACTAATGATTTAAATTGTGATCAAATCCACTATAGCTTGGGAGGCCCCCAGTTAATCCATTTACTGTGAACATTATTAAACATATATTAAATGCCTGTGCATAGCAAAGACTTTCAAAGGTACGGTTTGGTTCGCAGATCTCCCAGAAATGAAGAACGTAAAACTACTAAATGTTATCAACTAATCCCAGCATACGCAGTTTCACAAAATGTTAAGCACTACAATTAATGAAGCACAGAAATAGATTTTTGATCCATTGGGAAGGCATTCAAAAAAATATCACCATGAATGAATAATAAAAGATTTATTTGGATTGTAAAATCCAACTAGTAAAGAAATTTATCTAAGACATGAGCTCAAGTATCGGCCTCTCTAAAACTAAGAAAAAATATTTCACATAAAAGATATAATCTGGTAGCCACTGTCTGAGAAGCGCAAGTAAATTTAGGGTAGTGTTTGCCAACCACATGAGGCAGAAACGCTTGAAACGCTTAAATGAAGATTCCTGGGCTCCCACCCCAGAACAAACAGCACGAAGGTGATGACTTCTCTTATTGGACACAGAATTGCTAAACTTCTCTTTAGCTCTCGCATCCCCTGGAAAAGTCTAGGCAGTCATTTCTCATCAGCTCTATGGGCTTAGATTCTAAAATCTACAAGTGGTGAGAGGAGAGGAAGGAAGATGGTTAAGATTATATACACGGCCGGGCGCGGTGGCTCACGCCTGTAATTCCAGCACTTTCGGAGGCTGAGGCGGGTGGATTACAAGGTCAAGAGATCGAGACCATCCTGACCAACATGGCGAAACCCCGTCTCTACTAAAAATGCAAAAATGAGCTGGGCATGGTGGCGCGTGCCTGTAGCCCCAGCTATTTGGGAGGCTGAGGCAGGAGAATTGCTTGAACCCAGGAGGCGGAGGTTACAGTGAGCTGCGATCGCGCCACTGCACTCCAGCCTGGTGACAGAACGACACTCTGTCTCAAAAAAACAAAACAAAACAAGAAAAAAATGATTATATAGACACTCTCATCTTCATAAAAAAAATCTCAACAGGCCCAAACCTTTTTTCCGATAATATAGAAAAAAACCCAGTTGTGTTTTCTAAGGGATGGAAAGAGAACAAAATAATAAAAGAGAAAAGATATTGCTACTATCATTTTAAAACTATGAAAAAATAATGAGAAATATGTAATGAAAGGAAAGGGCACTGGATTAGGATGAGGAGATGTGGGTTCAAGGTGCAGCGTATACCCTCCAAAGGGTATGTGACCTTATAAACTCACTTAGCTACTCTTTAACTCAAAGGAATTAATGTTTATAGGAAAGAGATGTTTAAGTCACAAAGAAATAGCAAAATATAAGTGGCATTAGTATCACTGATGACTAAAGTTTTATTTTTATTTGTAGTTATTATTTAAGATAGGGTCTCACCCTGTCACCCAGACTGCAGTACAGTGGTGTGATCCCTGCTCACTGATGTTTCAACCTCCTGGGCTCAAGTGATCCTCCTGCCTCAGCTTCCTGAGTCAGTGGGACTACAAGTGTGCACCACGACACCCAGCTCATTTTTTGTATTTTTTTTTTGTAGAAGTGGAATTCCATCATGTTGCCCAGGCTAGTCTGGGACCCCTGAGCTCAAGAGATCCACGTGCCTTGGCCTCCCAAAGTGCTAAAAATACAGGCATGGGCCACCTTGACTGGCCAATAAAAGGTTTTAAAAATATGTAATCCAGAATATGATGAAGCAAATGCAAATACACAGATTTTATACATAACACCCAAGTTAGAAACATTGCAGCCAATTACCTGTGGGAAAATCTAGGCCACTAATACCAAATTGTTCCTGCTTTTCACTATATCAAGTAAACCAAAATGCAAATTCCTGACCAAAAAAAAGAAACAAAACTCGCTGTGGCTTGATGCAGTCATCTATATAGCAGTAGTGAATGATTCAGCTTGAGCTTTTCCTATAACCTACCTATCCACATTTACCTGAGTCTCAAAGCTAAATTCGCCACTGGAGAGCCATACAAACAATGGGACTATAAAGAAAACAGGAAGATTAATCAATGACCAGTACCATTAGTCAATAAACCCAGGGTTGCAAGGATTTTGAAATCTGTTTAATGCTTTACTGCCTTACAGATTTTAGCTTAACACCAAAATCAAGTGTAGTTGGAAACATGCAAGGAAACCCCTTTCATTTGAGACGAGATGGGTGAAAGCAAGGTATACTGCAGTTGCACAAAGCTGGGATTTAAAGTAGGCTCTACATGGCCAGGTGCGGTGGCTCACGCTGGTAATCCCAGCACTTTGGGAGGCTGAGGCGGGCAGATCGGGAGGTCAGGAGCACGAGACCAGCACGACCAACATGGTGAAACCCCGTCTCTACTAAAAATACAAAAATTAGCCAGGCATGGTGGTGGGCACCTGTAATCCAAGCTACTCAGGAAGCTGAGGCAGGAGAATCACTTGAATCTGGGAGGCAGAGATTGCAGTAAGCCAACATCATTCCACCGCACTCCAGCCAGATAACACAGCAAGACTTCGTCTCAAAAAAAAAAAAAAAAAAAAAGAAAGAAAGAAAGTAGGCTCCACGTTCTACATCTTTAAAACCCTCTGTACGGTGTCTGGCACACTGTAAGTACCCTATGAACTCATTATTACGAGTAGTGAGGTATTAGTACAGAATAGGCACTCAGTAAAGACTAGTTCTCCTCCTTTATCATTTTGTACTTAAAAGGCAGAAATATATTCTAACCAAATTACAACGGATACATAATAACATAGAGCATGTGGCAAAGTCAGGGATGAAATTTCCTAACATTGACTTGAGATCAATTTTACAATTTTCACTGACCATAATTAGAGCCTACATATACAAAGTTATCATTTAAACTTGGGATGATACATACAGCTTTCTTGCTACCTAATATTTAACATAGTTTCTTAAATCATTTTTCTGGTATTATGGATATACAGTTAGTATGTCTCTAGTGACACCTTCCTACCACCGGTTCTCATCACCATCATCATCAATGGGACGGTTATGAACTGAATACATGTGTCCCCTACAAATGCAAACTCTGAAGCTATAACCCTCTATGGAATGTTATATAGAAGTGGGCCTTTGGGAGGAAGTTAGGTTTAGATGAGCCCATAAGGGTACAGCTTTAATGATGGCATTAGTGCCCTTATGAGAAGAAAAAGAGCAAAGCCTGATCTCTCTGCCATGTGGGGACACAGCAAGAAATTGGTAGTCGGTAAGCCCAGTCATCTTGACTGTGCTGGTGCCCTGATCTTGGACTTCCAGCCGCCCAAACTGTAATAGGTAGCTGTCTGTAGTTTAAACCACCCAGTCTGTGACATTTTGCTCTGACAGCGTAAGCAGACTAAAGGAGCCAAAGCACTCTACGAGTATTGTTTGAAAGTATCTAATGTACATAAATGCGCTCTGAAAATGGTAAGGTGATAATATTACTGTTTAAACAAGACGAGAGAAGACACAGCCCCTCAACCTGAGATGCCTACAATCTAAAATCTAGGAAAATGCACAGTGCTAATAAAGGAACAGAAACACACACATACACAGACATACACATGTGGCCAGGCACATGAACATCTTGAAGACAAATAGCAAGAATAAAAGTATTTTATTTAAAAACCCAATCTTTATCTATGAATAATAAAAAGTAGGTCAGAAGCAACGAAAATATTAAAACAATTTTGCCCCATATTTTAAAATGTTTTGTAAAAAAAAAAAAATCTCGTCTTACAAATAACATCTTAAAATCAACTTTTTATAAATAAAATTCATAGCAAGACTCGTTTATTCCATTAGGAAAACATTTGTAAAAGCACACCTCATCATATCAATGGAGCATACAGGGTGCAAATGCCCCTCGTTCAAGGACCAAATGAAACCATGAAAGATAAAAGACCAAGCAACTCATACAATATCGCTTCTGCAAAGCCTTACTGTAAAGGGAAAGATTCCTATATAAGATCCATTTGAAAATCCATTTCACACTTCTAACTTAAAGCCAATTCAAATATAATTTACTTTATCAGACTCCTTCATTTAGAGAGAGTCAGGAGTACAATCCACAGAAGTGACAATTACTTAGGCTTATCAAAAGATGACCTGGTAGCAGTAGCGCTGAGCAAGAAAAAAAGACAAACTGCGACTCCCACCGGAAACCACGGCCGTTCGTGTATAAACAGATCTTCTAACAAACCAGAACGTTCTAAGGAAAAGCATCTACGGGCGTCATCTCTGCACCAAATGCAACCTCATTTGTCCTTCTAGTTTAGTGCCCTAACATCCCTTTACTTTTCCAATGTCGGCCATTTAAAAGAGGTGAAACAACACTCTTGGCATAAAACACTACACTTACCAGTCTCGTCGTCTATACTGAATCTTCCAAGACCACTGCCATCCCTGATGGAGTACTGGATCTCTCCATCCCTTCCGGAGTCTTCGTCTCGAGCGGTCACCTGCAGGACGCTTGTCCCGATGCGCGAGTTTTCTTTGACAGATCCAACAACAGCAAAGTCTGCGAAATAGGGAGTGTGGAGGTTTTCATTGACATCCACCACCTCCACCTCAACAAAGGAAACAGACGACAGAGAGACAGGCCTCCCTTTGTCTTTGACCCGCACAGTAAGGTTATAGAACTGCTGCTTCTCATAATCCAGCTCTTTGCTCAAGCGGATAGTGCCACTTGCTTTGTCTATTTCAAATCTCCCGTTGTAGTCATTGACCAAAGAATAGCGCACTTGACCCCCCAGTCCAAGATCTGGATCGTGGGTCTCAAGCCAAGCAATGACCGTGCCAACAGGGAGATCTTCAAGAACCTTCACGCTATAGCTACTGGGAATGAAAGCTGGGGAGCAGTCATTGACGTCATCTAAAAACACCTTAAGAGTGACAACGGAAAACAGCTGCTGACCACTTTCTGCCTTGTCCCTGGCTTCTATTTTCAAAGAATAATTGGCTTTGGATTCCCGGTCCAACTGGTCAGCTACATAAACGATTCCAGTTGAGCTATTGATGGCAAACTGCTGTGTATCTGTCAAGACTGAGTAAGTCACTTCACCATTAGAACCTAAGTCTTTGTCTCTGGCTTCCACTTGAATGATTTCAGTACCGATGCTTGAACTCTCAAGAATGTTAACTGAGTAACTGTCTTGAATAAAAACCGGGCTATTGTCATTAGCATCCTCCACATTGATGGTCAGCAGTCTCCATGATGATTTCTGTGGATTACCTAAGTCATAGATGGTGATGTTAAGGAGATAGAGGTCTGTGTGTTCTCGATCCATAGGCATGAGGACTTTAAGCTGCCCAGTCTCCATATCAATATTAAAGCAACTGTCTGTATTTCCATCAGATATTGTAAATAGCACTTTTCCATTGAAGCCAGAGTCGGCATCATAGGCTTTAATCTTCAGAATGTCAGCACCAACTGGCAGATCCTCCTTTACAGCCACATCAGAAGGAAAAGACTTGTCAAAATGTGGTCCCTGCCTATTAATTGAATAAAAGTCAAGAAATCCATCTTCCAGATTCAGTTTCCCATTTGCTTTTGCCTTAATGAGTAGTTTCTCTGCCAGCTTTTGAGCCACACGAGTTTCTCTGCAACTGAAGCTCTTTGAAGACACCTTCCCATGTAGGACTGAAATGTTAATAGACATGGGATCTGCAAGATTCTCTCCATCAGTTGCTGTAATTCTGAGGGCAAAATTGCCATTTTTAATGCCAGAATTCATCAGCGATTTTTTAAGCTGTAAAACACCGGAGTCTGGGTTTAAATAAAAGAAGCCAAGTTCATTTCCAGAAATGATTTTGTACCTCACAAGTTCAAGTTCATCAATATCGATCGCCGAGACTGCTGTGATGTGGCCACCAACTGGAAAGTCATATGAAATAACTCCCTGGCAAGCCACTTTTTCAAAGAGAGGGCTGTTGTCATTGACATTTCCTATTCGAATAGTCACATTGACCTCACTTTCATGGCGATACGGTGAACCCCAGTCAGAGGCTCTAACAATGAATCTGTAAATTTCTGGGGAGGATTCAAAATCCAGTTCTTCGGTTGTGCTAATAACACCTGTAAACTGGTTAATGGCAAATGGTAACAAATTCAGGCTGGCGATACTATAGGTGATGTACCCATTTTCTCCTTTATCCTTATCAGAAGCTGAAACCGTTAGAACGCTGGTTCCCACAGGGACACTTTCATTCACAAAAGTATCATACAGTGGTTGCTGAAATTCCGGGGTGTGGTCATTCGCATCTTCTATGCTGATGGTGACTTGTGCTTTTAAATCTCCTTCTTTATTTGTCACCACCAGTTTATAAACCTCCTTCTTAACGGTATTCAGTGGCTGTGCTGTAACAATCAAGCCTGAACGAGGATTAATTTTAAAGTACACTGCATCCTCACCAGGAGATAATTTGTATTCCACATCTGTCGGTTCAGGACTTAATTTTACTACAGCAACCACGACACCAGGAGGGGAAAATTCACTTATGCTCACATCGTACACTTCTTTTTCAAATCTAACTGGGACGGTGTCTCTTGTGGGGTTTCTTATGTGGACTGTCTTTAACGCTGAAAATTTCTGAGGCGATCCCTTGTCTTTTGCTTGAAGAGTGAGGTTGTATCCATAGGGAAAGCTCTCCCAGTCAACCTGCTTCCTCTCCTTAATCTTGTACTCATTCAACCACTTTCCTTCCTTAGCCAGAAAGAACTGATCTAAAGGATCCCCAGCCACGATGGAAACAGATTCGATCTCTCCATTGGCCCCATCATCTAGGTCATCAACTGTCACCACGGCATATGTCGGTTCTCTGTCCAATGAGAAAGGAATGTGAGGGACTACATGGATTGTTGGCACGTGCTCATTTATGCGTTCAATGTGAACATAAAGCTTTGCGGTACTGCTGACTCCATTGTTTCCATACAGTTTCATTCCCCGGTCCACAGCCAAAATTTCCAGATCGTACCTATTCTTCTCATCATAATTTAATCGGCCACTTAAGGAGATGACACCGCTCGTGGGGTGAACTGAAAAGAGATCAACTTTATTTTTAAAGTAGTAGTAGAATTCTCCATTGGAACCAATATCCGCGTCTGTGGCGGTCACCTGGGCGACACTAGTCCTTAGAGGTGTGCTTTCTGCTATGGTAACGGAGTATGTTGTGGGTGAAAACAGAGGTCTCAGATCATTCATATCTAAAACTTGTATATTCACTTTGGCCCATGCTTCCAAATCCTCTCCTCTGACCGAACCTTTTACTATCAATAAATAATTATCTTGGATTTCCCTATTCAATATGGCAGAATTGCCACCTTTAGTTCTTATTCTGAGAAAACAGAAATCTGCAATGATGACTTCCTCTGCTTTGAAAAAGCCTTCCTCGTCTCCGGACACTATTCTGTACTTGATATCCCAGGACAGATCTATTAAGGTGATGCCCATTCTACTCTGGCTGTTGACATAGGTCCTTGCTGCTGAGTTCTCATACACGGTAGCATTATAAATGGAATGTGTGAAGTGGAAGCCCAGGGGTCCAGTCCCTGGTAGCCCCTGGGAGACAGTGGCCAACAGCTTGAAAAGCAGGAGGACGAGGCAAGAAGGAAGAGGCCGTGTGCCCACACAGTGTCCCATAATTACATCCATCACATCATACTTCCATCCTGGAGGGGAAGAGAGAGAGAAAAGATAAATTATCCTAGAAGAAGTGGGAGGAGTGGAAAATAACTATTAGGAAACCATGCTTTAAGAACAGGTTATCATAAAATCTTTTTACTAAAATAGCGATATAAGAAAAAATTAGAAACCTTGCCACTACTAGGTAATAAGGAACCCAAGATTACTAGAATTTAGCCCTATCTCGGAAGAGTATTTTCAAGCGACACTTCATTTTACATAACACTTTTATACTGCTGACAGGTTGTTCACTCGCACAAGATTTCTTACATTCTGAAGGTTAGTGTGGAAGTATGTACTGGAGGCCTCAAGTGCATTTACCTTTGACTTAGAACTGTCCTTGCAGAAATTATCCTATACAAATATTTAGACAACTATCTGTTATAGCACAGTACAAAGTAAAAAAAATAAAAATAAAAAAAAAATAAGAGATGCTAAATGCCTCTCAACAGAGGACTGAATAATTCACGTGGTATTCATAAAATATTATGCAGTCATTAAAAATAGAGATATAAAAGATGTGCATTTTCAGATGGAGTAAAATGTAATCCTAAGGAAAAACGGTCATCAAACAGTGTATGTAAGCATGAGTTACATTACATAAACATCTCTACGTGCAACTGAATCGTTTTATTTAAAAAGGATTAACTGTGTTGTGGGATTTGGTGGCATATTTGCATTTTCTAATTTTTCTTCAATGAACATTGTTCATCAAGAGTTATAGAATTACTTTTACAATTTTGATCTTTTAAAAAAACGCTTTAAGGTATTACCATCTTTTTATTGTGCTTACTTTAAAACTGATCAAGGTTTATGCATAATGCCATGCCATGAAAATGAACAAAGTGTCAAGTAACAAAGCAGGGACAATAATCCCTGAGAGGTTCCATGACCGGAGTGATATCCAGAACTATTCAGAACAAGGGAGGTAAGAGCGATTTCTTACAAGAAAAACTTCAGAAATTACAAGAGATACTTCCAATTATTTTCCTTAATGACTATTAAATTTTAGACCGTTTCCACAGTTTCATGGCTATGTGGGTTAAAAGATAAAAACCTTTTCCTACTTCAGCCAGTAAAATCAATCAAGGAGAAGGGAGAAGGGAGTATTCAACAGGAAAAAGTGAAGTCTATTTAAACCCAAAGGATCAGATTTTTAGAACCGCCAACTGTCAGTTCTTCCACCAAGTCTTATACTCTGCACACCCTTGACATTGTCCTTTTCTTCCTCTACAGGGAACGGGAAGATGAGATGAGACAGGAAATGAATTTCTTTGCAGGCACGCAACGACGTACACACTGTATCAGTCAGTTTTCCACTTTGTTATATGTAATCTTCGTGACAATCCTAAGTAACAGGTACTATTTTACCCAAAGACATACTAGAAAACTACGGGTCAGAGAAGTTAATCTACTTATTTGAGACGATGGCCCAAGCAATGTCCCCCCGGCCGGCAAGTAGCAAAGCAGGATCTCAGACCTTCATCTTTCTCTAAAATCTTTGTGCTTCCCCATCACACCCTCACTCTCTCCAAATTACCTGCAAGCCAGAATGAAAGGATCAAGGCTCCTAGAAGTACATATTACCAAATTTACTTCTAATGAAGTAGTCAACATATATCATTGATTTTCACAAGCACAACCTATCCCCACCCCCAGCATATCATTTTGGCTTACTTCCTCTCGGTTTTAAAGTAGTTCTAATGATTGGCTGCAAGCTAGAGAAAAAAAAAAAATCCCCTACAAGAGTTTAACATCTTAAAATATTAAAAAATTATATTTATGGTTTATAAAACCCTTTCATACCCAAGGTTATCAAGGCATATATTATTATAACCTTTTTGTAAATAAGAATTTAAAACCTCATTTTCCTAGTAGCAGATTTTAGATTAGACCTGAGGCTGTCTCCACACTCCACAAGGCTTTCCTATTTGTTTTTCCAGCTTCATCTTACAAGAGACTCTCCTAAACTGAAACTGTGAGCATCCAAAGGCTGGTTCTGCCTGGGGATGAAAGATACCTTGCTGCTATAATCTGCTGAAGTATCCAGTAGAAAACAAAGAGTTGCAGATGGAAAAAGTCAAGTTTAATATGGGGACTTTATAGGTATTAATAGACAGCAAAAATAATAAGCAGGAAAAGGGAGTATATTTCTATAAAGGGTGTTAATTTCACAGGCAGTTCCTCTGACTATCTGTTCTTTGCAGACACTGCATGTGCTAGGTAAATGGAGCAGGCAGCATGTGGACACCAGCTCAGGTAACTAGGGAGGGATCGAGTCAGATGGCCACTGGCGACCCTACTCAGTAAGTTCCTAGAAAGACACCATTGGGCCACTGGTCATTTCAAAGGAAACTTTATTAGGAAAACGATACATTTTAGGTGTTCTGGATGCAGTAGGTTCAAATGTCCTACCTTGCAGAGTGGCAAACCCCACAATATGACTGGGGTGTCTACTTCGTGGAGCACAGTCAGTTGAAATATGGGAGCAAGAGAAACACTGTTAGTGATCACAAAAGTACACTAGAAGATGCTTTAATAGTACTTTGTATGCCTCAGGAGTCTCTTCTATTTCATCATCTCAAAAGGCTCCAAAGCAGTGGAGAAATTTTTAGGCTCACTGTGGAAATGTGAACATGGTAAAGTAAGAAAGTCTCTTGTAAGGGAATGCAAAGGCTAGGTTACAGTCCCTCAAGGTGAAATGCTGCGATCACTACCAGAATGCTCCAGGGAGATAGAAATAGAGCTTGTGCCTTATTTCCCACTCACTATTATGGGCGAAGAAGACTCTCTGTAACAGTAATTCTGCTGATCCTTTGCCCAAGGAATCTGGACTCCACGGTGATCAGAGAGAAAAACTTGCCCCATGAAACATTCAGTGCAGCTGAACTTTTAAGAGTCTATCCCCATTCACACTCTGAATGCTACTTAAGGAAACCTGATGGGAAGCATATCACTCTATTCCCAGCACCCAGTACAGCACCCACCGCACAGGAAGCAAGTAACACTGGTTTGTGGAACAGAACACTAAGTACAGATGTAACCAGAGGCCCAGATGCTTTTAATATGCTCAGTTTCCTATTCCCCAACAAAAAGCATATCTTACTTCAAGAAACCAAATCAAGAAATCATACAGGTTCAAAGGATCCTTAAAGATCATCTGTTCCGGCTGGGCACGGTGGCTCAAGCCTGTAATCCCAGCACTTCGGGAGGCCGAGGCGGGTGGATCACGAGGTCAAGAGATCGAGACCATCCTGGTCAACATGGTGAAACCCTGTCTCTACTAAAAATACAAAAACTAGCTGGGCGTGGTGGCACGTGCCTGTAATCCCAGCTACTCAGGAGGCTGAGGCAGGAGAACTGCCTGATCCCAGGAGGCGGAGGTTGCAGTGAGCCGAGATCGCACCATTGCACTCCAGCCTGGGTAACAAGAGCGAAACTCCGTCTTAAAACAAAACAAAACAAAACAAAACAAACAAAACATCTGTTCCAATCTCCTGAGTTTACAGATGAAGAAACAGGTCCATAAAATGGAGAGATCCCCCTAATACCAGGTCTCAAGTTCCTGGTCTCAGGTTCAGAGCTAATACCAAACTGAAACACGCTTCAGTTGAATTAGTTTTCATTGAGTTACATTACAATCTTAGAGCTGTGGTTTATCATTATTTTGGAGTCATCTTCCTTTTCTGACACCTTATTACTCTCCCTGGTGTTATTTTCTCCTCTAAGTAGTTAACTGTTTCTAAGGAAATATCTAAGTGCCCTAAGGGGATAGTTACTTTTACAAATCTTGCTGTGAATCTTTCAAGGCAGAATGCTGTCATAATATGAAAACACATCATTCAATTTAAGTATGCAAAAATTGGTGCTTTTGCACAGCGAGTTTTTCTTTCAGCAAGATACACTGCTGGAATTGTTTTCTGAGAAACCAGAGTCAGTGGTCTTAAACGCAAATAGAAAATACTTCAAAACAAGCATAAATGGAGTGGTATTATCATGTACTGAAATTTAGACCTAATACCAAAAAAATTGAGCAGGACTAAGTTTGTCAAATTCAGTTGTTGAAAAAACATCTTTTAAGGCTTTTGTATCTTTGTTGCCGCAAAGGAGAAAAAAAAGGCCGTATCTGGCACAAATTATTTTAAAAGCCTTACGATATTCCCACTGATTAGGAAATAAATGAGTGCTACAAGCTAGGAATGTTGTAAAATTTTGCAAAGCAAATACTAGAATCAAATTTTGTCTTCTTTTTAGCATGCCAAAACAACAGTTCCGATGTTTTAAAAGAAATAACATTGTTTTTTCCACACTGAAGCCAAGCTATTTGTGAAGCCAATATGATAGTTACAGTGTTTGAGATGCTCTGCACATTGATTCATTCTACTGCTTCCAGATTATTTTAAAGAAAGCACTTAGTTCCCAACCTCGGAGGCTATTTTCTATGACTTACTAACATAATCAATAATTTTTGATAAAATCTCCAAAGAGATCATCAAGCCATCAATCTTTGAGACACTTATTTTTCAGAAGCATTCCTGGTGTGCCTCCCGGTCCTGCCCCTCTGCTCTGTTAGGATGGATCTTGCTGTGGGACTCAAAAGGGCATGCAGATTTTTCTTTCCACGGATGAATAAATGCCAGAGACCTTGAGGGCAGGGAACAGCAATCACAGAGACTACCCCTCTGGGGCAGCCTTGACTCTGCAGGGTACCTATGCTTGCTTTGGTAACCTGATAAAGCTGTTTTCTGCCGTCATCAATCTGGTCTGCTTAAATTGCTCAGACTTCTGAACACTAAAAAAGACATTTTAATAATATATTTCATTTTCACTCTCCCTCTTCCTATCTTTTCTATTTTGAGAGGATTCTGTTAGCCAAATCAAGAGGATATTCAAAAATTTGCTACGTTCAGCTGTAAAGCAAAGAACAAAGTCAATATAGAGTCCCCTTGACAGGAGTCCTTACGGAAGGT